GCCCAACCGTCCATGGCATCGAAACAACACCTACTTCTGTTCTCTCTGTGTACTGTCTACACAAATGGCATTGAACGTTTGCCATGTATGTGCACTTGTGATCCACCTGAGTCCCCTTCAGGGTGAGAAGGGCAGAATATAAATAAAGTGTTGTTATATTTTTGGAATCAGCAGATCAAATATACCCAGAAACGGGTCTAACATTTGAGGCACCCAAATGTGTGTTGGCCAGTGATCCAACGTTCAAAACACTAAGCATATTTACTAACAAGTATAGTTACAATAGATTGTTCTTTCTTCTCTGTTTCAATGTTGTTCTTTATTTCTTTGCTGTGTTTCCTTCTCTGTTTCTCCCTCCTTCTTGCCTTCTTTCAGCCCATTCTGACTTACCTTCTTATACACAACCACGACACACACACACAAAAAGACATTTTCCCCAATCCATTTCCCCCAATTCTGAAGCAGGAATCCCAGAGAGAAAGCAAGACTAAGGCTGCATTCACGCTGTAGAATTAATTCAATTTGACACCACTTTAACTGCCTAGTTCAATGCTATGGATTTGTGGGAGTTGTAGTTTTACAAGGTGTCCAGCCTTCTCTGCCAAAGAGTGCTGGTGCCCGAAGAAACTACAATTCAGAGGATTCCATAGCACTGAGCCATGGCAGTGAAAGTGGTGTCAAATTGTATTGATGTTACAGAATAGGTACAGTTTGCTCAGGCCCCGAGTATGTCAAATATAAAAGATCCCATAAAATGTATTTATTTATTATTTACTATATTTATATACTGCACCTCTCAGCCCAGAGACGACTCAAATGTCTCTATTTTTAAACAAAATGAAGGACAAGCTTATGACTAAATGTGGGATTTGTTTCCAAGAGGTACCAATTGTTATAGATCAGCCAGAGACTGATGTTTTAACTGGTGATTTTAGAGAGGTTTGTGGTCTTTCCTGTGGCACAAAGTGATGGGCTCTCAAGTCTGGGAAATTCAGGTCTGGAAAATAATGGTTCTCTCTGTGAAGAAACTGGCTCAGAAAGGGCAGTGCTTCAAGGCCAGTCAGAGGAGTCAACAGCAGATAAGGAAGTGAGTGAAGAGCTTAGTGATAAGGAGGGTTCCCAGCAGAAACCACCTGTAGCTATTCTTCATTTACAAATCAGAGCCAAAAAATAGATTATGTTGGTCTGAGAGATTATAGAATCATAGAATCAAAGAGTTGGAAGAGACCTCATGGGCCATCCAGTCCAACCCCCTGCCAAGAAGCAGGAATATTGCATTCAAATCTCCCCTGACAGATGGCCATCCAGCCTCTGTTTAAAAGCTTCTAAAGAAGGAGCCTCCACCACACTCCAGGGCAGAGAGTTCCACTGCTAAATGGCTCTCACAGTCAGGAAGTTTTTCCTCATGTTCAGATGGAATCTCCTCTCTTGTAGTTTGAAGCCATTATTCCACGTCCTAGTCTCCAAGGAAGCAGAAAACAAGCTTGCTCCCTCCTCCCTGTGGCTTCCTCTCACGTATTTATACATGGCTATCATATCTCCTCTCAGCCTTCTCTGTGGGAAAGTTATAGAGAAAATTCAAGGGAGACGTAATGCTTTCATGGGTGTCTATTAACAAGCTGTTTACCCTAAGGGCAGTTCAGGCAACGCTGTGTTAAGAGTGAGAAGCTAAACTTGAGTTCTCTTCTTCTTGGTTCATTTATAATATCCTGGAAGATTTCTATGTTCTTATTCATGTACTCTGGTTCAAGTTTTTACTAGTTATACCTTCTTGCTTGTGAACTTATGCTTTACCTGTAATTTCTGGCTGTTCCTGGACTTTGTCACCTCTGGAACTTTATGAGACATTTGCATTATTTTTTGCTTATCACCTGTTGCAAAAACTTTTTGGATTACATATCTTCCCTTCTTATTCCTGCTTTTGTAATCCACTTTTTATATGTTTTACAATAAACTGTTTGCTTATATTCCTCTTGTGTAATGCAGTGGTCATAGGTATTTCCAGGCCTGGAGTGCAACACTAATCCAAATTTGTTTCTTAAATAATTCCATAATAAAGGGTAAAATGTCTGTGATAGACATCTGCAAACATCAGTTCCTGTGACATTTGTTGAGATGGATATGGTGCCTTTTGGAAACCAGTTCCACAAATGGTATCTCTTCAAGGTTTTGCTTAAACCTGGCTCCTGCCCATTGAAATGGACTGAGAGCTGGACAAAAGTGAACACTATCAGAGGTTGGAAACCACCCTTGGGTTTTAAAGGCCATTTCATTCTTCAATCATTGGAGTGGACTCTGCTGATCTTATCTGATTACCAGATACACTCTGTAGCAGGAGAAACAATAAATGAACAGTGGGTACTGTGAGTTTTCCAGGCTGTATGGCCATGTTCCAGAAGCATTCTCTCCTGACGTTTCACCCACATTTATGGCAGGCATCCTCAGAGGTTGTGAGGAATATTGGAAACAAAGCAAGGGAGTTGAATGCTTTCATGGCCGGAATCACTGGGTTGTTGTAGGTTTTTCGGGCTATATAGACATTTTCTAGAAGCATTCTCTTCTGACATTTCGCTTGCATCTATGGCAGGCAGCCTCAGAGGTTATGGGGACCTCACAACCTCTGAGGATGCCTGCCATAGATACAGGCAAAATGTCAGGAGAGAATGCTGCTAGAAAATGGCTATATAGCCCGAAAAACCTACAACCTAAGCAAGGGAGGTTTATATATCTGTAGAACGTCCAGTGTGGGAGAAAGAACCCTTGACTGTTGGAGGCAAGTGTGTATGTTGCAATTAATCACCATGATTAGCATTGCAAAGCCTTGCAGTTTCAAGGCCTGGCTCATTCCTGCCTGGGCGAATCCTTTGTTGGGAGGTGTTAGCTGGCCCTGGTTGTTTCATGTCTGGAATTCCCATTTTCAGAGTGTTGTTCTTTATTCATTGTCCTTTTAGAGTTTTTTTAAATACTGGTAGCCAAATTTTGTTCATTTACATTGTTTTCTCCTTTTTATTGAATTTCTCCACAGGCTTGCGGATTTCAGTGGCTTCTATGTGTAGACTGATAAGGTAGTTGTTAGAGCGGTCCAGAAAGAACCCTTGTCTGTTGGAGGCAAGTGTGAATGTTGCAATTAATCACTTCGATTAGCATTGCAAAGCCTTGCAACTTTAAGGCCTGGCTGATTCCTGCCTGTGGGAATCCTTTGTTGGGAGGTGTTAGCTGGCCCTGGTTGTTTCATGTCTGGAATTCCCATTTTCAGGGTGTTATTCTTTATTCACTGTCCTGATTTATGAGTTTTTTAAAGTACTGGTAGCCAAATTTTGTTCATTTTCATGGTTTCCTCCTTTTTGTTGACATTCCCCACAGGCTTGTGGATTTCAATGGCTTCTTTGTGTAGTCTGACATGGTGGTTGTTAGAGTGGTCCAGCATATGCCAGGCCTTGAAGCTGCAAGGCTTTGCAATGCTAATCAAGGTGATTAATTGCAACATCCAACAGACATGAGGTATGTATTGTCGAAGGCTTTCATGGCCGGAATCCATGGGTTGTTGTAGGTTTTTCCGGGCTGACTTCTTCCACACTGGACCTTCCACAGATATATAAATCTCCCTTGTCTAGTTTCCAACAGACCTCAAAACCTCCGGGGATGCCTGCCATAGATGTGGGTGAAACGTCAGGAGAGAATGCTTCTGGAACCTGGCCATACAGCCCGGAAAACTCACAAAAACTCAGTGATTCCGGCCATGAAAGCCTTGGACAACACAATAAATAAACAACTCCAATTCTTCCCAAGGTTAAGATTTATATATATGTATATATATAAAACCAAACACCAAACAATGGAAAGAGAGAATTAGTTTCGCTCACTCAACATTGTTTATTACACCGAAACTGTTGGTTTTTTTCCCTTGAGTTTCTCTTGTGTTCTGGCTGCCCTCCCTCCCTGTACAATACTTGGTCCTCTGCGCATGCTCCATTGAAAAAAAAGGAAGGGAGGGAGGAAGAAAGTGTGCACACAGGCCTCAAGTCCCATAATAATAATAATAATAATAATAATAATAATAATAATAATAATAATAATAATAATAAATCATAGTAATAATGGTAATCAAATCAAAACGACCCTACCGACAAGAGAATTCTTTAAATAAGTCAATAAACATTATATAGAATATTTATATATTTATATATTTATACATACATATATATTAAAAAAAAACCTTCTGGAAGTCAAACCAAATTATGACACATAAACAAACAAACAGAAAAAAAACACCCAGCGGCTTTCCAACTGGAAATTTCCAAGTTTGTGTTATGATAGACAGTAGAATGGGCTTTTCATTTGTTTTCTCCCCCAAGTCTTGGTGTTATTTCATTGTTAGGAACCCCTCAATGGGTTAAACTGACAGGTCGGACTGATAGGTCGGAGGTTCAAAACTGGGGATGAGCTTCCCCTGTCAGCTCCAGCTCCCCATGCGGGGACACGAGAGAAGCCTCCCACAAGGATCGTAAAACATCCAAACATCCTGATGTCCCTTGGGCAACGTCCTTGCACACGGCCAATTCTCTCATACCAGAAGCGACTTGCAGTTTCTCAAGTGGCTCCTGATACACACACAAAAAATATCATTCTGTTAGTGATTATGTTCTGTTTTTATAGTAAATTCTGGTTTGAAGAGCAGCAAAGAGTCCCTTTTTCTCAATCCCAAGAAAGTTTTGAGTTTTGGGGAGCCACTTTCACCTTTGGTGGCCTCTTCTCCTCCTGGGTTTTTAGTTTGTGGATGGGTTTTTGTCCTGTTTGGAGGCATCTGATCATAGAATCCTAGAGTTGGAAGAGACCTCATGGGGCATCCAACCCCATTCTGCCAAGAAGCAGGAAAATTGCATTCAAAGTACCCCCGACAGATGGCCATCCAGCCTCTGTTTAAAAGCTTCCAAAGAAGGAGCCTCCACCACACTCTGGGGCAGAGAGTTCCACTGCTGAACGGCTCTCACATTAGTTCTTCCTAATGTTCAGATGGAATCTTCTTCTGGTTCGAAGGGCAAGAAAGGCAAGGAGATGTCTCTCTCTTTCCCTCTCATTCCACATAAAGTTTTTGGGATTTTTGAGTGAGTTTTGGGGGCACTTTGCCTTGGATAGTCCTCCTCCAGCCCTGAATCAGCCCAGCGGTCAGCAGGAAGGCACCGGACCCAGGTCGGAGGAGGAGGATCTGGGGGATCTCTTCCTCCTCCTGGTCCTCTCTTCTTCTTCTCCTCCTCCTCCTTCCCCTTCTTCACAGGTCGCACTCGCTGTCGCTGGAGGTGATGGAGATGGCGGAGGAGGCGGCGGCTTTGCTGGAGAGGCTGGCGGCGGGGCTGGAGGCCGAGCCCAGGAGCGGCTCCCCGGCACTCTCCTCCTCCGAGGCCAGCGCCGCCCGGCCCGCCCCCGACGCCCCCGAAGAGCACAAGGAAGCCTGCTGCAGCCTAAGAGGGAAGGAAGCCAAGGCACAGTCAATCAGGAGGGGCGCCCAGGGGGAGAGGGGACCACCAACACCATCACCACCCTCTTCCCGCCCAGCCCTTTGGGGAAGGCAACTCCCATACCACCCCCCAAGGAGATGGAGCTGCTGTGAGGATTCTGGGGAGAGCTATCCATGAAGAAGAGGATGAAGAGGAGGAGGAACAAGAAGGACTTAGAAGAAAAGGAAGATGAAGAAGTGGTGGAGGGGGAAGAACAGGAGAAAGAAGAAATATAAGAGAAAGGGGGGAAAGAAGAAGAGGAGGAGGAATAGCAGGAAAATGAAGAAGTATAAGAAGAGGAGAAGGAAGGGGAAGAACAGGAAAGGGTAGTATAAGAAGGAAGAAGAGGAAGAAGAGGAAGAAGAAGTATAAGAAGAAGAAGAGGAGAAGAAGAAGAAGGAAGAGGAGGAGGAGGAGGAAAAGGAGGAAAGGAGGAAGAAGGAAAAAGAAGAAAAAGAGAAGAAGAGAAGATGAGGAGGAGGAGGAGGAAGAGAATGAAGAAGAGAGAGGAGGAGGAGGAGGAGGAAGAGGATAGGAGGAAGAACAGGTCAAGAAGAGGAGAAGGAAAGGAAAGAACAGGAAAAGGTAGTATAAGAAGGAAAAGGAGGAAGAGGAGAATGAAGAAGTATAAGAAGAGGAAGAGAAGGAAGAAGAGGAGAAGGAGAGAAAAGGAGGAAGAGAGGAAAAGGAGGAAGGAGGAAGAAAGAGGAAGAAGAAAAGAAGAGGAAGGAGGAGGAAGAGGAAGAGAAGAAGAGAAATAGGAAGAAGAGGAAGGAGGAGGAGGAGGGAGAGAAGAAGAGGAAGAAGAAGGAGGAAGGAGGAGGAAGAGAAGAAAAAGAAAGGAGGAAAGAAGAAGAGGAGGAGGAATAACAGGAGAATGAAGAAGTATAAGAAGAGGAGAAGGAAGGGGAAGAACAGGAGAAGGAAGTATAAGGAGGAAGAGGAAGAAAAGGAGAATGAAGAAGAAAGAAGGAAGAGGAAGGAAGGAGGAGGAGAAGAAAAGGAAAGAAAGGAGAGGAAGGAAGAAGAAAGAGGAGGAGGAGGAGAAGGAAGAAGAAAAAGGAGGAAAAGAAAAGGAGGAAGAGAGAGGAGGAAAAGAAGGAATAAGAAAAGAAGAGAAAAGAAGGAGGAAAAAGAAGGAGGAAGAGAAAGAAGAAGAAATATAAGAGAAGAGGGAAAAGAAGAAGAGGAGGAATAACAGGAGAATGAAGAAGTATAAGAAGAGAAGGAAGGGGAAGAACAGGAAAGGGTAGTATAAGAAGGAGGAAGAGGAAGAAGAGGAGAATGAAGAAGTATAAGAACAGGAAGAAGAGGAAGGGAAGGAAGAGGAGGAGAATGAAGAAGTATAAAAAAAGGAAGAGGAGGAAGAGGAGGAGGAGAAGGAAGAAGAAGTATAAGGAGGGACTTAAAAGAAAAGTAAGATGAAGAAGAGGAGGAGGAACAAGAAGGACTTAGAAGAAAAGGAAGACGAAGAAGTGGTGGAGGGGGAAGAACAGGAGAAAGAAGAAGAAATATAAGAGAAAGAGGGAAAAGAAGAAGAGGAGGAGGAATAACTGCAGAATGAAGAAGAGGAGAAGGTGGAGAAAGAACAAGAAAGGGTAGTATAAGAAGAAGGAAGAGGAAGAAGAGGAGAATGAAGAAGTATAAGAAAAGAAGGAGAAGGAGACAGAGCTGCTGTGGGGATTCTGGGGAGTGCCATCCATGAAGAGGAGGAGATGAAGAGGAGGAGGAACAACAACAAGAAGGACAGAGAAGAAAAGGAAGATGAATAATTGGTGGAGGAGGAAGAACACGAGAAAGAAGAAAAAATATAAGAGAAAGCGGGAAAGAGGAGGAGGAGGAGGAATAACAGGAGAATGAAGAAATATAAGAAGACGAGAAGGAATGGGAAGAACAGGATAAGGTAGTATAAGGAGAAAGAGGAAGAAGAGGAGAATGAAGAAGTATGAGGAAGGAAGAAGAAGGGGAAAGAAAAGAAGAAGAAGAGAAGAGGAAGAAGAAGAGGAGGAGGAAGAAGAGGAGGAAGAAGAAGAGGAGAAGAAGAAAGAAAGAGGTGAGGAGAAGGAGGAAGAAGAGAGAACGAAGAAGTATAAGAAGAGGAGGAAGAGGAGGAAAAACAGGTGAATAAAGAAGCAAAAAAAGAGGAGGAAGAAGAAGATGAGAATGAGGAAGTATAAGAAGGGACGTAAAAGAAAAGTAAGATGAAGAAGTGGAAGAGGAGGAGGAGGAACGAGAAGGACTTAGAAGGAAAGGAGAAGAGGGAGAGGGGGAAGAAAAGAAGGAAAGAGGAGGGGAAGAGGAAAGTGGAGGAGAAAAAGAAAAGAAGAAGAATGAAAGGAGGGGAAGAGGAGAAAGAGAAGAAGGAAGAGGAAAAGGAGGAAGAGAAAGAGGAGAAGGTGATGGAGGAGGAGGAAAAAAGGAGGAAGAAGGAAAAAAGAAGAAAAGAAGAGGAGAAGAAGAAGAGGAGGAGGAAGAAGAAGAAGGAGAAGAAGAAGTAGAGGACTTAGAAGAAAAGGAAGATGAAGAAGTGGAAGAGGAGGAAGAAGAGAATGGAGAAGTTGTAGAAAAATGAGGAATAAGATGAAAAAGGAGGAAAAAGGAAGAGCAGGAGGAGGAGGAAGTATAAGAGGGGAAGAAGAAGAGGAGGAGGAAGTATAAGAGGCGACTTAAAAGAAAAAGAAGATAAGGATGAGAATGAAGAGTAGAAAAAAGAGGAGGAAGAGGGAAAAGAAGGGGAGGGAGAACAGGAGAATGGAGAAGCAGTGTAAGAAGAGGAGGAAGAGAAAAAGGAAGAGGAGGTTGAAGAGCAGGAGGAAGAGGAAAAGGTAGAAAAAGACAAAGAAGGCACCGACCTCCCAGTTTAGTATGGCCTGGGAACCGATGGAGGTGTATCTTAATCTACTTGTTAATTCCAACTAGAGCAGGGGTAGGGAACCTTTGGCCCTCCAGCTGTGGTGGACTTCAACTCCCACAATTCCTTGAGGCTCGGCATTGGGCCAAGGGAAGCCTTTGGGGCGAATGCCGAGCCTCAAGGAATTGTGGGAGTTGAAGTCCACCACAGCTGGAGGGCCAAAGGTTCCCTACCCCTGAACTAGAGTAATACCGCTAAATTACTGAGAATTTAGGCAACACGTATGTAAATTCAATTTGTCATTTTATTGATAAGAACCATTTTAATGTGTTTAAATCTCATGTCTATGGCTTTTAATATATGTGTTTTGAATGGTTTTCTGCTTTTATGTATGTATTTTAATTCTGTCATATCCTTCCTTTAGCCTTGAGGAGAGGTGGGTAAGAATTAAAATGAGTTGCTGTTCCTTTCTTCCAAATGAATTCCAATGTGACAGAGAAATAGGCCTTTGTTTAAAGATTCTATACATTCTATTTCAGCAGTTAATATTTGGTGCAGTTCAAGCTGCAGTCCGAAACTGGACTAGGAACTGAGAACAAGCTGCATTGAACACAACTGCAACTGATGTTGGATTGAAATCTACAGGATTGTACTAATAATGTATAAAGATTCACTTGCTTTTGCTGTTTGGCTGTTCCCAATTGATTCCCATTTGATTGCAACTTGCCTTACATTGATCAACTTTGATGATGTATTTCTCAATATTTTTATCCTATGCCTTTCCAGCTTCACTTAGTCAAAACAGCAACAAAATGTCCCATGACTAAAACAACTATCAATAACAATATAGCAAAAATTTTAAATGGCATTAAATCATGCAATTAAAAACCAGGAAAAACCACAACATCACCCATTAGTAAGCCCTGTTGTTTGTTTCTATGAGACATGTTTCTCACATGGACCTCATCCGAAACCTTCTCTGTTTTCACCTTGACTTCAGCTCCATATCATTCTGACTCGAGATGCCATCTACACTGCAGCCTAAGCATCCCCTCTCCCCATAGTCCTCTTTCCTAATCAAAGGATGCAAACAAAATAATATATTCTGATTTCTCCATTGTCCTGCACACTCAGGTTAATAAAGAATCACGAACTGCAATTCATTCTCACCAGCAAAGTGATGACCCACCTCCTTACTCAGAAAACTTCAGCTAGAAAAGAGCAAAAGACATCTAACATCTCCAGTTCTGTAACAAAATATGATTACAATTATATCCTCATCAGATCCTACATTATATTTCCCTTCTTCAACTTTGTCAGCTTTCTGCCATAATTCAGCCTGACAAAAGTCCCAGAGTCCAAATCATTGCTCAGACATGAGGACCCACTGGGTGATCTTGGGCAACTTAAATTAATTCAGAAAAAACAATGCCAAATGTCTCCTGAATAAATCATAGAATCATAGAATCATAGTTGGAAGAGACCCCTTGGCCATTCAGTCCAACCCCCTGCCAAGAAGCAAGATAGTCACATTCAAAGCACCCCCGACAGATGGCCATCCAGCCTCTGTTTAAAAGCCTCCAAAGAAGGAGTCTCCACCACACTCTGTGGCAGAGAGTTCCACTGCTAAACAGCTCTTACAGTCAGGAAGTTCTTCCTCATGTTCAGATGGAATCTCCTTTCTTGTAGTTTGAAACCATTGCTCCGCATCCTAGCCTCCTCCCTCCTAGGCAGCAGAAAACAAGCCTCCTCCCTCCTCCCTCTGACTTCCCCTCACTTATTTATACATGGCTACCATGTCTCCTCTCAGCCTTCTCTTCTTCAGGCTTAACCTGCCCAGCTCTTTAAGCTGCTCCTCATAGGGCTTGTTCTCCAGACCCTTGATCATTTTAGTCACATTCCAGCTTGTCAATATCTCTCTTCAACTGTGGTGCCCAAAACTGGACACAGTATTCCAGATATGGTCTAACCAAGGCAGTATAGTGTCTAGACCAGGGGTCCTCAAACTAAGGCCTGGGGGCCGGATGCGGCCCTTCAAGGTCTTTTACCCGGCCCTCGCTCAGGGTCAACCTAAGTCTGAAATGACTTGAAAGCACACAACAACAACAACAAC